TCTAAATCTCCACTCAGATGTTAACAGTCAAGCCTGGCTGAGGAACAAGGTAAAGTAGAAAGAGTAGTGACCAGAGGTGATCAGTGATTAACAAGGCTGCCTTTACAGCTTGTGAGAGAAGCCTGCACTGACCCCAGAATCACCCCACTACTGCTGAGCAACACTGCCCTCGTAACACACGCCACCCTGCAGCCCTTAGCGTGCCTTCAAACTGAGGTTCTGCTCTGATTTTCTAAATAAATACTGTCGCCTGGGGCTGGGTGACTACCCACTAGATGCTCGTTAAACACAGGGTGCATGTTGCTGGGGTGGAGCTGGGGCGGGGGTGTGGCTCACTCGCATTCTCGGTGCTGAGTCAACACATCCCCCAAATTCCAACCTTGCTCAGAAAATGATGCGCTTCCCAGAGTGAGTTGAGAAGGGGGTGGTGATGGGATGGGGACCACGAAGTCCCCAGAGCAGCAGAGTCCCAGTGGATGGCCCAGACACAGACACAGTCGCTGATGGGGGCTGTGATAACATGGTCCCGGCCACTCCGCTCTGTATCCTGTCTACTTCTCTGGCAGCTCATGGCAGTCACAGCCCACCCCTACCTGCGGCAACCATTTGCCTCCTGTCCACTTCTGCACTAGACGCCGAGCTTCTTGAAGCAGATCAACCACAGGCGGCCCCAGTCCTTTCCAGGGGTCCAGCTTACAGATGCTTAATAAGTGAGTTGACCACATGAAAGGGGAAACAGACATGAGCAACAGTGACATTTCCCCAACACGTCTGCAGTCAATGAAACACAAGCACATACATCCTGGGCCTCATCACAAACCGGCCGGCAGAGGTCTTGGGGCGCAGAGCTGGTTGGGGCGTTTTTGTAAGGCTGTTACAAGGTCAATGCTGGACATAGTGGGGATATTTACACCTTGAAGGTTCACAAAGACTACAATTAAGGGCTTTCTTTTACAAAGAACAGGTAGATCAGCGAATCACTGACCGTAGTATGTTCAAATGTGTTCTTGAAAGGGTAGACAGGGGTCTCTTTAGATATTGAGCCACTGAGTTTCAGGGAGAAGGTTGGAGACCTCCAACATTCCTCAGCCTTGTCACAGAGATGTGCTGACTCCAGATGTATTTACTTGTCGCAGTGGGTATTTTTAGAATGCCAACCGGGTGCCAGGTACATTCTTCCATGGAAAAAATGTGATTGGAAAATTAGTGACTCGGTAAGGCTGAGCGGCTCTCAGGGATGAGACCTGAAAGGGCGATGTTGTCGCTTTCCCCAAAGGTCTGAGCCTGACTGGGATTGGATCAGCACCTGATGTTGGCTGCATGTGAGCATGTGAGGCGTGAGCAGGATCTGTGGCCACACACCCAGAGTCGGTGTCAGGGAGAGGGAGCATGTACTCTGGGCCATTCAGCTCCCGACGGACAGGAGCCAAGTCTGGACCTCAGAGCACCCTCAGGGCACTCTGGCAGACCCCTGCACACCCCTGCATGCCTTGCATGCCCTTAGACAACAGTGGGATCGCGTTGTGCGTGGTGGAGAACCAGAAGCTCCAAACAGGACCACAGGTACCAACCTTTAATGAGTCCTTTAAGGGCTGTACCAAACCCAACCCTCACTCTAATTTGTATTTTTAAAAATTCTTTATAAAGATTTATTTATGCCTGCAAGAGCTGGGGTACCGGCCAGAGGTGTGGGGGTCTGTGTGAGAGGAGTCACCAGAGACAGAGTGGAGAGCAGAACAGGCAGACCGACTGAAGAACACTGCTGAGGGCAGCAGTGGGGTGACAGGAGAGGTCTGTTGCGCCATGTGGGTCGGATCCCTGGCTGGGGATTTGAACTGGTGCTGCAGTGGCTGCGGATAGATTCATGGTGCTGAGACTTAACCCTCTGCACCACCGGGAGACCCCACCCTCATCCCAATTTGGTAATGGGGTCCTTGAAGATTTAATGAAATTGGGGTGACGTCACACCAGACTAGGATGAGCCCCTAACCTAGTTGGACCAGCGTCCTCAGCAAAAGGGGAGGCTTGGACACAGAATATGTCAGGATGGTGGCAGAGACTGGGTACCGCATCTACAAGCTGAGTAGCACAGATGCTACTCACAGCCCTTGGGGATAACCACCCCGCTGACTCTGGGTCACAGACATCCAGCCCCAGAGCAGCGATCCAACCATTCTGCCCTTGCGACCACCAGCCAGCGCACCACAGTGAACAGCCACCATGGATGAAGGTTCTTGCTTCCTCTACAAACCATGTGCTGCATGAGAGCATGGGGACTAACCACGATGTTACAGATGGACAGGGGTTCAAGTCCCCTGCTGGAGCCAGGAGCGGTCCCCAGAAGATGCACTGGGTGTGGGTCAGGCTGCACCTGTCTCTGCGGTGTGCACACAGCTACGCACAGGCACTGTCGGGAGTCACCAAGGACAGGACAGGACATCAGCAAGTCGCTTCGCCACCAGGGCACTGCCCTTACCCTGCTCGTGCTATGGCTCTCCAGGGCTTGATGCCCACTGCAAGCTCATGAGGAAGGAGCCCCTGACAGAGAGGTGGAGAGGCTGGGAGGGAGACGGACGCCCATCGATCTGTTGCCGGGCATAGATTTTAGATAGTGCTGTGGGATTCCTAGCCTCTTCCCGTTCTCGGATTAAAGGCATAGCATTTTTGGCAAGCCTGGGAAGAGGGAAATTGGATGCAGGAAAGAATGGGAAGGGTCCACTGTTGACTCCTGATTTTAGAACTTGCTACAAAGTCCTTTTGGGCAGCTCATGGATTTGATGGGGTTTGTTTTTACCTCATCCTGGAGACTCTGTGGTAACACCTGGCACAGACAGATGCTAAACACATAGATTTCCTTTCCTTGGCCTTTTCTGTGAATCCACCTGAGGTCCTCCCAGCAGATGTCCACTGAGAGGGGGCTCCCTGGCCTGCAGGAGACCAGCACTCTGCAACCCTGCTCTCTGCCCGTCCTCAGGCGCTGCCTGCTCCCCTGGGATGGAGCGATGGCCCGCTCTGAACTGGAGGGTGAGGGTGCGTGGGGTCTGCCTCTGAGCCCTGCCTGGGCATGGCCAGCTGGACACTCAGACTCAGTGATGGGCTCCTGTCCTTTCACACACACACCTGCACATGGGCACACACACCACTAAGAGAATATGTACCTAAAGGTCCACAGTAGGACATTCTCGTGCTAAGAGGTTCACAGCTCTTCCACTCTTGTTCTTTAAAAGGCAAGTCTCCCAGAGTCCGCCACGCAACTCTGGGGAAGTGTGGCTGGGTGGGCTTCTGGGTGCCTGAGGCTAGTGAGTCCTGAAATTGCCAGGGAAGGGGAGTTTTAAATATTCTCTCTCAGAGTCCCCATTACCTATCACCTGTCCAGCCCCGTGTTCCCCAGTTCTCAGTTCAGAAAGTGTGATCCAACATACTATGCTTTGGGGGGATTCTAAGATCCCTAAGGTGGTGTTTCTAGAATGGACATACCCGCAGAAGGCAAAGCAGTCACATCAACCCCTCTCTTATCCAGAGGTGAAGGCTAGAGGGGAGCTGTGGAGCAAGCCATGGGGTGTCCAGTAAGCTTCTGCTTTCTGTAATTGTTTGCTTCGCTCCCCTGGTGCCGTCACTTGCTGTCAAGGATTTGAGTGTGATCCAATTGATGGTGTCCTTCCTTCCAGATTATCTGTTTTCTGCAGTGGGGAAGTCTGCCAAGCCCTGTGATTTGTGTCACTTTTGTTTGCAGGCCATCAATTCTGCCTCCCTCACAAAGAGTATTTTATCTCTTTCTGTCCAGTAGTCTGAGTTCCTGAGAGGGCACAAGTGAGGTCTATGCACCCCCTCATGACTTATGTGAGGTCAGAGTGAGTCTCATTTGAGTGAGTCTAGTGTTTTTGTCTTCTCCTTCCTCCTGGATCTTCCCTTTTCTGTCTATATATTGATCTGATTTTCTTCCAAGTTGTAAAAGCCATGTGCGACAGGTCTTGTTGTAGATCATCTTTCCCTCCCTCCTTCTCTCTACCGCCCTCTTTTCCCCACAGACATGTGCCACCTCTGCATGCATGCACATGCATGTATATATTCACACACACACAGACTTGAGTCATCATATTTTCCATGGTTTGCAGTTATGATTAGATGTCTACTTATTTTGTCATCTCTATACAAGCAACCTATGAAACTATGTATGCTATCTATAAATGCAGGCCACAGAATAAAACTGCCCAATTTTTTTTGGTGTGTTTATCTGGGGAGGATGGCTGTTAAAAATATCAATTCTATAACAAAAAGATAAACCTGATTTCTGGCCATTCAACCTTGTAATAGGTTAAATGATAACAAGCCATTCATTGATTTTTTTTTTAAAAGAGTAATAAACAGAAACAGGCACCAATTGAAACAGCCAGGCAATTCAATTATAATTAGGAAAACAAAAAGTGATGAGCCTGAACAATGCTGCCTTAGTTTGGGGGATACGTGTTGAAAACGCCAACTACATAGCAATGCAGCGTTTGTTTTTTCATTATTAAAGGCATGAACACAAATCACCTTATTTTTGAAATCTATGTAGCAACTGAGTGGAGCATAAAACGCAGGAGAAAGGTCTAGCAGACATGCTTTTAAAGAAGACCCACATAAACAGACCCAAATATGGTGACAATAGATAGCAGAATATTTGAATACATTTATATTCACCACTCCACTGATTAATGTAGCAGTTAATCCATCCATCATCCATCTTCCATCCATCCTCCATCCATCACCCATTCAGCCATCCACCCATCCATCATCTATCCATATACATCCATCCTTCCATCCAGTAAATACGATTTGAACTCTATATACTTATATCCTAGGCATATATTAATACCTAGATGCAAATCACTCCAGTGGAGGGAAAACATTCTTGATATTTTTAGTCATTACTTCCTAACTTTCCCTGTATGGCTAGAGGAAGAAATACTTAAGCAGCTGAAGAATAACAGAAGACAGACAAGCACATGCCAACATACCTTTTGTCGCCAGACGAACACAGTTGATTTTGGTCTCCTGTGAACAACAAAAATGAGACTCCTGTTAATTACTGGTGGGTTTGGTTCTTAATATAATATAAAGAAGAAATATATATTTGTATATACATGCCTATTGATGTATTTTAAATTATAATTTAAATGTGTCTTTTTCATTTTCCCCCCATGGGAATCACCTTTTAATTCTTGCTCTTCATTTCCTTACAGGCTAGTACTTTTTTTTTGCCTTTTGTTTTCTGGCTCATAAGCCTCTTCCCAGATTAACATATCAGATACTGCCCAGCACAAGACGAATTCAACAACCCCACTTAGTGATACACTTGGGCATGCACTGCACTGTGTTTCATTCTATTGTTTGGGTTGGTAGTTTTACCAGCACATCTACAGAAAACTACTATGGGTCAATGATCTGTCTGCTTTCACAGACTGAAATAGACTTTGGCCCTGCACACATGAGCTGTAAGAATCAAGCTGCCATGTTCATGTTCAAAAAGTCACTTTGGCCCTGGTAGATCTCTGGTAGACCTCAGATTCCATGGATAATGCTGTGTGTGAAAGAGAGAGACAGAGAGAAAGAGAGGGAGAGAGAGAGGGAGCGAGGATGAACTCTTGTAACTCTTGTCATTTGTAATCCCTTGGGTGGGACTGGAAGGGATGATGCTAAGTCAAAAGGAGAAAGATAAATGCTGGCTGGCACCCAGTGGAATCCAGAGAATGCTGAGGGCTAAACAAAACCAAGTCAGTAACCTGTCTTTAACTCTCACTGTGGAACTGAAGCTGCCAAGTGGGAATTGGGGAGAGGGAAGCAGACTGGGAGGGGGTACAATGGACTGTGCTGGAGGATTATTGGTGCTCTGGTGATGGGGTGGTGACAGGCATCTGAGGAGGTGTGACCCTGTGCCTCTGAATCACATACTGTGTTTTCAAGCAGTTTTAAAGAGAGAGAGAGAAGGGAAGGGACAGAGAGAGGGGGAGGGAGCATGCGTGCATGCAGGTTGGATTGACATGACTTCTTTGTAACAAGTGTCTCCTTTCTTTTTTAATGTGAAAATGCCCCTTTTAAAAATACATACATTTTTAATTGCATAAGATGGGAAATGCAGCAATGTTAAAATAATAGAACAATTATGATTCAAATATATGAGGTATTCATTTGAGGTTTTATATGAAATTTGAAATATGCTCTATTTTTATAATATCAGAAGAATGTTTAAAAGAGCAGGGGAAAAAACATCAGCAAGTATTAGGAAATTAATCTATTAAATTATGATATAGAGAATATATGACAGAGTTGAGAGCAAGTCTATCAGTTACAGCTGTATATGTGGATGGGTTTGACTCATATAATTAAATTAAAGTGACTTCAAATTGTCTCATACAGCAAGGCCCAGCTATTTTTTGTACATAAAGGTCACACCTAAATTAATTCAGAAAGGCAACAATAAAGGAACAGGAGAAACTATAGATAACAAATGAAAAATAAAATAGCTGCAATGATCCTGATAGTAAAGATTAGAGTAGAATGCAATTTAAAAAGCATTAAGTAATGCTTTTAATGGCCAAATTCACAATAATGATATGTATGTGTAAATATCCATGTACCAAAACCCCACAATAATCATCTTTATGAAGTAGAACCTACAGGAGCTACTAGAATAACAGAAGACTGTTGTCAGTCTCAGATAGATCAAATGGCAGAAAATAGGCAAGTATGTGGAAGAACTAAAATAATCAGGCAGATATTGTGAATATTCATCAAACTCTGTAGGCTAATAATAGGGGGGAAAGCCTTCTTCTGAGTTTATAAAATATTTACAAAAATTGACCATATATTACCTAAGTATGAAAGCATCAGTATATTCCATAAAGTAGAAATATTATAAACACCAGTCTATAATTACAATGTAATAAAATGAGAAATTAAGGCTATTTAAAAAAACAAGTCCTTCCACTTGGAAATTTACAAAATAATCCTTTTGATCAACTCCTAGGTAAAGGGGGAAAATTACAAGCAAACTTTGAATGCTTTTAAACAAAATTTAATGAAAATTCTACACATCAACTTATGTTGCAAAACATTTAAAGCAGTGAGTAGATGAAAGTATATTAGGAAAACAAAAGAATGAAAAAATAGAAAAATAGACTGTATCAAGAAAAGGAACAAAAACAAAACTAAAGAAACCCACATAGAAAGTAATAATAAAGACAAAAGCAAAAACTATTCAAGTAGAGAAGATAAGAGTAGGAGAAAAAGGGAAATAGATGACATACCAATATCTAAAATAAGAAGAGACCTGGGAGAAATAACCACTGAAAAAGAAGAAATTTAAACAAATAATATTTTTTAAGATGTATTTATTTATTCATACAGAACTGGGGTACAGGCCAGAGATGCGGAGGGTGAGAGGATTCACCAGGGACAGGGCAGGGAGCAGAACAGGCAGACCCAGGAAGTACACTGCTGAGGGGAGCAGCGGGCGGGTCAGGAGAGGTCTGCCACGCCATGTGGATCTCCTCGGGGCAGGCGGGGATCGAACTCATGCGGAAGTGGCTTAAGCTTCTTAGTGCTGTGCTTTAACCTGCTGCCACCAGGGAGGGCCCAAATAACATTTTTAATAGAATAAGTTTGCTTTTGTCATGTGACAAATTTCAACACCCTGAAAAAAAAAATACTGTCATCAAGGCGAACCTCTTCCAGGAAATGTGGTTTGACAAAATCCATTCATATAATAGCCCATGTCAATACACAATGCAGAAAAACACTGGACACAATTCAACACCCACTTCTGATTTTTAAAAAAAAACTCAAGAAAATAAAAGCTGATTAAGACTGCTATAATATGATAACATATATGTCTGAATCCTAAAATTATAATCTTACTTAAAACGAATTGAGGCAGTTCTGTTAAGTTCAAAAACAACAGTAGGATGAGACTAGAATGTCCTCAGTCACCACAAATCCTTTAAATTGTACTGGAAGAAATTGCAAAGAAATCAGAGAGCAGTGACTTTAAGCTATCTTTGCGTGCAGAAATACCTGAAAATCTCTAGAGAATTAATAATAAAATAATAGCTAAATATAAAATGATAACACAAAGTGAACAGTGCCCTATATGCCACCAATAATCAGTCAGAAACCATGGCCCCAAGTCCCATTTACAGTGGAAACCAAGATTAAATACGTGGTTATAAACAAGAAGTGCAAATTATATGAAGGAAATTTTACAACACTCCTGAAAGACACAAAAATAGATCTGAACAAATAGAGCCATCCTCTGTTCTCAGATAGGATAATTCAACATCTTAAAGGTGTCAGCTCACCTAATTAATGTATGAATTTAATACAATCCCAATAAAATTACTAATAAGTTTTTTTTTTTATCGACTAGGACAAGTTGATACTAAAGCTTATATTAAACACAAATGAACAAGTAAGAAGAACTAGGAAATCACTGAAAGAGAAAATCTAAGTGATGGGACTTGTTCTATCAGACATTAAACCACAGAGATTCTTTAATTGTAAGAGTGGAATATGAGTGCACACACAGGCCAACAGGCCAGTAGAATAAAAGTAAGAACCCAGGATAAGACTCAGGCACATATGAAAATTTAAAATATGAGAAAAGTGACCTCTCCGGTTATTGGTACAAAGAGGAACTTTTTCATAAATGTGAGGACTACGAAGTAGATAATGGGAGGAAAATAAAATTAGATGCACACTTTATGCCACATACAAAAATAATCACTAAATATCAGAAATTTAAATTCAAAAAAAAATTAAACTGTGCCAGTATTAAAAACAAATGAGGGTGAATTAAAGAAAGGTCCATGTAAGAAGGTGCCTCCTTTCTTACAAGTGGAATGTATTCCAGAAAATATGGTTTTCAAAGTCCGGCTGTAACAGAAGAACAAAAATGATGCCTTTGACTGCTTTTGAAATTTTTTTTTTTGTGTGTGACAAATATACTATAAGCAAAGTAAAGGGATACATAAATAAATCACAACACAGAGCACACTATATCAGTTCATATCACTGATAAACAAATAGTTCTTAAAATTGAAAGGAAAAAACCTGATAGACAATTGTTAAGAGACACAGAGGTAATTAAAAAATTATATGAAAATGTTTCCTAGGTATAGGAATAGAAGAAATACATTGAGATAAAACTTATGTATGACTTTGAGAACAATTAAAATTAGATCATATAAACTTTGTGCCACTGTGGAGAAATGGTCTGCAGCATCTGTCCCCAATATATAAACATTGATGTAGACAAGAACCATCATCAAATGCTAAAACTGAGGGGTGGAAGTTTAATGGAGAATGGGATGCTTCCTAGCCTAGAAGTATAGCCTTACAGAATACATACACATTAAAAGGAAATGAAGGCTTTATAGCGGAGAAAACCTTGGTGACCAAAGTTAACCTCATGAGTGACAGTCATCACAAGGACATCAGTGTCTTCTGTCTGAGAGTACTCAGCATTTTTTTTTGTGAGAGTCCTGCCTGAAAGTCATAACCCAAGTCAACAGCAAACCTGAGACAGCTACAAAACCACCTACCTATAAGAGTAAACTTAGAGCAGCCAAGAAAGATGGATATACAAGGAATTTAGAGACATGAAAATGCCTGTCAAATGATCCTGAACCATGTTGTAAAACACATGTAAAGGCCATAACAGATAACTGGCAAAATTGAGGCTGACAATGGTACTTCAATGTTGATTTTCTGTAATTGTATTATATCACTGCACTGAAAGTGCATATTGCCATGTTTAGGTGTAGAGCAGTGATAGATCAATCACTCAAGACACCTAATAATAGCATGGAAGGGGTAAGAAAGACAATGAAAGGGAAAAGCAAATATGGTGAATTATAAGCAATTAGGGAACCAGAATGGGTGGTTTATGAAAGCTCTTTATACTATCCTTGACACTTCTCCATAAGTTTGATATCATCTTAAAATAAAGCATTAAAATATTTAATGGAACAAAGGTAGTAAGTTGGATAGAGGGCACA